GCAGAGAGAGAAGGAGACACAGAATCCAAAAGAGGCCCCAGGCTCCGAGCTATCAGCACAGAGCCCGACGCGGCGCTGGAACTCATGAATGGTGAGATCACGACCCACGCAGAAGTCTGATGCCCAACCGACTGAGCCACCCCAGGCACCCCTTGTCTCATTTCTTCTGATGTCAACCCCAAGAGGCAGATACTCTCAGAATCCCAGGCTCACAGAAGTGAGGCTTCATGGAGGAGGAATCATTTGGGCTGGGCTTTGAAGGATGCATTCCAGCAGGCGGGACGGGAGGAGGACGAATTTAGGTAGAGGTAACCACGGGTGCAAAGGCTTGGGAGTGGGGAGTGACAGTCAACCCAGTACGGCTGGGACAGGTGTGCACAGAGAGAGAAGGCTGGTAAGAGTGGAAGCCACCACTTAGTGAGCGCCTACGGCACGCCATGTCCCAAGGCATTTGCTCATAACCCTCCCAGGAGGCAGGGCCTCTTTTCATTTCCATTTTTCAGAGGGGCAATCTGAGGCCTAGAGCAACTAAATAACTTGCCCAGAGTCACGCATGAGAATTAGGATTGAACTCAAGGCCGCCTAACTCTGGGGTGGACACGCTGGGTCAGAGAGGCATTCAGCGGTCCAAGAGGGAGAAGACAAAGGCAACCGTTTAGCTGAGGACATACTAAGAACCAAGCACAACATGTTATCTTTTTCAATCCTTACAAGTACCCAGGAGGCACTACTGCAGTGGATATGATTTTGGGCTGCTTAGCATCATTTTTTGAGAATCACCCCACGTCCACTCTCATGTACTGAGACAAGTTGCCTTTACTCCCCAGTCCCAGTGGGTAAGAGTGAGACCCAAGTTTACCATTTAGGATAATCCATACCCCTAAACCACAGTTTAGTAGTGTGGACATGACTCGCACTGGCCAATCAAGTTTCATCCTGGGTTTTGTTTTTTTTTTTAATTTTTAATGTTTATTTTATTTTTGAGAGAGAGAGAGCACACGCGCGAGAGAGTGAGTGAGCGAGAGAGCGCATGAGCAGGGGAGGGGCAGAGAGAGAAGGAGACACAGGATCAGAAGAAGCAGGCTCCAGGCTCTGAGCTGTCAGCACAGAGCCCGATGTGGGTCTTAAACTCACAAACCGAGAGATCATGACCTGAGCCGAAGGTAGTGTTTAAATGACTGAGCTACCCAGGTGCCCCTCATCCTGGGATTTTTTTCCTGGAATTATTGCGGAAGAAGTGCTCCCTTTCGTCAAGGGCTACTGACTTATCAGGATGTCAACCTGAGGAGGCCAGAGTCCTCATTGGCCCTCTGGAAAGAATCTTCCAAAGAATATAGCCAATGCTGAGGGACTTTGTGCCAAGGGACAAAGGCAGGTTGCTGATGACCCTACTTAAGCACCTGGATACAGCCATTCCTGAAGCCAGTGTCCCTGGATTTTCCAATGACAGAACTGATCAATACCCTCTTTTGATTAGGCCAGCTTGGGTTGGGTTTTTGACCCTTGCAAATGAAAAGTGACCTGGCCAACAAAATTCTCATCTTCATTTAGCAGGTGAGATAATATATTCAGAGAAGTAAAGTGACTTGCCTAAGATCCCACAGCCAGGAAGTGGTTGAATCACACTGAGATATCACATAGAAGGTAGCTGGCATCTAATAGGTCCTCAACAAATACCATGTTCTTTTCTTCCACTGACCAAGAAACGGTAGAGCAAAGGACTAGAAAAGATATACCATGTGGAACCCCGGAGCTCCAAGCTGTTGGGCAGATTCTGGGTTCCTTCTGGAATCCTCTACACTGCACTGGGGTCTGGCAGGAGCAGGAGTTGGCAAGTAAAGTGAACTAGCTGCCAGGATGTCTGCATGTGAACAAAGTTCCTGAGGTCCCCACTCCTCCAAAAAAGGCCCTCTGAGGGTCCTGGCTGTAACCCAGGGTTTCCAGGGAAAGACCTGAGGTCTTAGCACTTACTTACTTACTTACTGACTTAAAGTACAGTTGACCTTCCTTCTTTTTTTTTTCCCCTTTTAACTGACCTAGCACTTCTTAGAGACTGACACTTGGTAGGAGCTCGCACAGATAACAGACTCAGTACTGCCGAAGCCTCTGTGGTCATTCTCATTTTTCAAAGCTCCTTCACACTGGAGCTGACCAGCAAGTAAGGGGTTAGCCTGCACCCTCTGACGCTGGACTTGGAATTGGCTCGTGGCAATCCTGGCTCGTGTGAGCTTGGTGACCTCCGATATGTTACATAACCTCTCTGAGACTTGGTTTCCCCTTGAAACGGGGAAGGGGCAGATTAGGAAGAAAGAATAAGACAAAGCACACAGACGCTCTTAGGACAGACACTGGGACCTCTTCAGCTTTTGGGCCACACAAGCGAGTGCCACACGTGGTGTGGGTAACTAAGTCGACTCTCTGAGCCTCAGTTTTCTCATTTGTGAAATGGGTGCTTGTGGGGCAGCAGTGAAAATCGTGGGTGGAAAATGCACCCAGGGCATGCCTCTTGGTGCCAGGGAAGGGTGAGTGGCCACGCCACGTGGGAATCGAGGCCGCCCTGCCAGCTGGAGGGCTCCACCTACCTGTGGGCAGGTTGTTTGGGCCCACACACCGGATTATTTGCCAACACTTACTTCCCCTATGAATCCAGATTTCCAGCTTCTCAAAAAAAGAAAAAAACAAAGCTGTAGCTCTGGCTACGCTGGACGTGTCTTCCTCGGTGGCAACCGGGCAGGATCTGAGCGCCAGCTAATCCGGGCCTGTGCTTTTAAAGTCTTACACACGGCCCGCAGGAGTTGTTTATGAGGCCTGCTTGGCGTCTGCGAGGGATCTCGGTTTGTGAGCCTGGGAATAAATCATTACAAGTGTGGCCAGCGATGAGGGAAAGGATCGAACGGTGCCAGGGAAACAGTCACGGCTTCCTCAGAATGCTGGGCCTGCAGCTGGGTGCACGGTGTGCTCCGAATCAGGCAGGTGGGGGCGGGAGCCCCTCACCCGTCTGTACTGTGGCCTGCTTGTCCTGGTCTGCTGGGAAGCCGCGCTGCCGCTTCCTTGGAGTCCTTGGCTGCGTGTTCTCCCCTGTCTCTCCTGTTTCCAGACTTCTTTTTTTTTTTTTAATTTATTTTTTTAAATTTTTTTTTTCAACGTTGTTTTTTTAATTTATTTTTGGGACAGAGAGAGACAGAGCATGAACGGGGGAGGGGCAGAGAGAGAGGGAGACACAGAATCGGAAACAGGCTCCAGGCTCTGAGCCATCAGCCCAGAGCCTGACGCGGGGCTCGAACTCACGGACCGCGAGATCGTGACCTGGCTGAAGTCGGACGCTTAACCGACTGCGCCACCCAGGCGCCCCTCCTGTTTCCAGACTTCCTGAAGCCCCTTCCCATTCTCCACCACCTGCTCTGCTGGTAAAACAAAGTTACGACATAACAAACAATAGAGTGCCCCAGGAGGGCCTCTCTGAGGAGGTGACATTGGAGTGGGGATCTGAGTGACTGAACCACCCAGCTAGCTGCCCCTCATCCTGGGATTTGATCTGAGGACAGGGTGTTCCAGGAAGAGGTAGCAGCAAGTGCAAAGGCCCTGAGGCAGAGAAGAGACTGACATATAAGAACAGAAAGGAGAACAGTGTACCAGGGACATGGCCAAATGTGGGTTTATAGAGCTTCCAGCTGTGTTTGGTAACAGACTGTAGGTGGGTTGGAACAGATGCAGGAATCTAAGTGAGGAGGACTGGCAGGTGTCCAGGTGAGGGACTGTGGCTGTTGAGAAGAGAGAGGACAGATTCAAGGCGTATTTTGGAGGTGGAACTAACCAATTTGCTGATGGCCCAGATGTGTGGGGTGAGGCAAAGAAAAGTCAAGGAAGAGTCCTGGGTGCTGTTCCAAGCAACCAGGCGGATGAGAGTGGAGGACGGGGCGGAACATCCTGAAGAGGCTGGAGGGGTACCTGGGGTCAGATCAGGACAGGTTGTGAGCACAGGCTGAGGGGTCTGGATGAGACCCTGTAGGTAATGGGGAGCTATGGAAGCCTTCCTGATATGTTCCCTTTGATACTTCGGTTTCCCATTGTTTATGGTTTAGGAATACCTAAAAGGGTTCACTGTTAATAAAACAGTGTTACAAGAAAAAAAGAAAGAAAGAAAGACAGGTGGTCCACTTTTGCTCTCTCGCAGACAGCAAAGCTCCCCCAGCCAGCTATGGGTTTGGGAGTACAAACCACCTTCCTGGAACCAGGGTGTGGCTCAAGGGATCTCACCTGCTGACCCATGGATTCCCTCCCTTTCCTTCTCCATCTCCTCATTAAGGAGCCAAAGTGCCTTCAAAAAATCTTTATTGAATTACCGGCTGCCTGTCTTCCCCTCTAAAAGCTCCGTGAAGGTAGGGACCATCTTCAGGATTTCCGTGTCCCCCGTTGCCTGGGCCTGTACCTGGCACACAGCTGGTGCTTGATAACCATTTACTGAGGAACTGAATTCAGAAGAAAAAGCCCCCGTCTGCCATCTCTAAGGATCAACTGAGATACTATAACGTGCCGGGCTCGGGGCCGGGTATCCGTTAGGCATTCAAGAAATGGAAATAAGAGTGCACAGAAAATAGTCACACTGTCTGCAGCCCTGGGCCAGTCTCTGGTGGGTCTGGAGGCTTCTCCAGGGGAGGACGGGCCTGAGGGGTGGGAGGGAGAGGCGGCCTGTGACCCATACTCCCGGACCCCTGTCTTGGGCCTGGACAGGATAGGCGTGGTGTGTGGACTAATCCCGGCTAAGCAGCCGGATGTGCAAAGATGTGTAATCCAAGGCCTCAGCGTCCTGTCCAGCCGGCTTTAGCCTGACCTTGGCTGAGGATGACCCAAGTTAAGGTGGGTGCCCTGGCCTCCCAAGGCTCCCCAGAGCTGAGACCCTTTATATAGCCAAGGACAGAGACCAAAGGGAGGCCTTTTTGGAGCGCAGAAGGCGGCAGGCTCCCCCAGGGTTCCCCCACCCTCCACCCCTGCAAGTCTGGAAAAGTGCATCTCTGCACTCCTCCCCTGTTCTTGTATCTCTGTCCTACAGCCCTGTTGGGGGAAATGCTGTACAAAGACTTTGTGTCGGGGAAGAAGAGAGGAATCCGTTCATTGATTTAGCAAACATTTACGAAGCCCAAACTATGTGCCAGACCCTGGTCTAGATTCTCAGGATACAGCAGTGACCAAAGCAGATCTTGTCTTCAGGGAACTGACATTTGGGTGGGGGCGAGCAGATATGAAATGAGGAAACATGAATTAGCAAGGTCACTTTGGACACTACAAAGACAAGCAAATGGGCTACTGGGATAGAGAGTGAGTGGGTGTAGGGGGGGCATCATTAGCTATGGTGGTCAGGGAGGGCTTCTTTGAAGAGGTGACATCTGAGCTAAGACCTGAAGGAGAAAGATCCAGCTCTGTGAAGATCCAGGAGAGGAGCATCCGGGCAGAGGAAAGAGATTTCAACCCTCACAAATCACGTTTGACATTATTACCTCCATTTATTGAGCACTTACTATGTGCCAGGCTCTCTTCTAAGAACTTTACACGCAATACATTGTTCAATACTCCCCAAATCCATGACTGTCATCCAATTTTACAGATGAGGAAACTGACCCACAGAGAAGTTAAGCACTTTGTTCAAGGCCACACCGTTAGCAAGTAGCAGAGCTGGGATTTGAACCCAGGTCTGCTCTATCTTCCGGCTTATATAGGTTGTTCCCTATCCTCAGAGCATAGGGAGGAGAAAAATTAATTGTTGAGCACCTACCAAGCACCAGGCTCTTTGACTTCCATCATCTTTACCTGCTCTTACCTCCGAAGACTATCCATGGTCCCCTGCCACGCACCCCTGCCACGTACGTCTCTTTCCTCCTCTCTGTCGTCACCTGTATCTACTCCCAACTCCAACAGTGGCCATGCAACCCATTCTGGTCCAACCCCCATAGTTCAACCCTTCTAGTCATAGTGATTGGCTGAAGGATGGGCATGTGACCAAGATGGGCCAATGAGAGCAAATCCTGGGACTTTGGCTGAACTGCCAGGGAGGACGAGTTCTTATTTGAGGGGCACAGTCTAGCTGGGAGGCTGGAAGTGTGGAAAACCAGAGAGCTTGGCTGAGAGTGAAGCTGGCCCAGGGGAAGGCAGAGACAAAAGACAGGGAGAAACTGAGTTGCAACTGACAACATCGCTCGAGGGGCTGTTGAGCCAATAACTCACCCTTCTCTTTCTTTTCTAGCTTAAGCCAATTTGAATTGGATTTCCGTCACTTGCAACTGAAATGCGAACATTTTTTTTTCTCCTGGAATGTCCTCCCTTGGCTTCTCCCCTGCCACCAAGTATTCTTCTTCCTACCATCAGGAAATAACCAGCACTGCCGTCACCTGTGTACCTTTACCACTTTCATTAACACCTGTGTTACCACCGCCAGCAATAACACCATCACTGTCACCATGAACCCAATTACCCCCGGGGCCATGATCGCTCCTACGCCTGATGCCGGCACCTCTGCAAATGTCACATTCTCCCTCTGTAAATCTGTCCCCAGCATACAGGACACTTTCACAACCCAAGCCAGGTTCCACTGAGGTCCCATTGGAGGAGCAAGAAAACTGAAGTTTGCAAAGAGGATGGAATCTGCCTACAGCCACAGGCGCGGCTGCTCAGATTTTCACTCATTCATTCACTCATCTCCTCATTCGTTTCTTAAAGAAATGTCACCGACTGCCTTCTGCGTGGAGATGGGCTCCCCTAGATGCTAGAACGCCTGGGTGAACACAGGCCTGGTTCCTGCCCTCACTGAGCTGGGTCAGGTGGGCTCTAGGACATTCCGAGGAGACCCCCTTGCAGGCTGCACAGGAAGCCCGGCCAGGATCCTTCTCTCCTCCTTGGGGTTCTGAGACTATGATGGAAGAGCCCAGCTTGTAGGCAGAATTGAAGGGCTGCTGGGATTTTTTTTTTTTTTTTACCTCTTACCTGAGCTGCCTTGTGCAATGGACAGCCTCTGATTCTTGCTCTCCAGCCAGCCAGAGAGCTCCCTGTGTAGGTGCGTTGGGGTGAGTAGGGATTCTTTACTGCGTTGACTTCTCTGTCTCTGCACAGTGCCAAGCTTGGGGCCGCGCACACAGTAAGCACTCAGTAAATGCTTACTAATGGATTGTTTCTCAGGGACAGAGCTAGGGCTCCTTCCTTCCATGCACCCACGCACTCACACACCTTCCCCTTCCCTTCGCTCCTCTCCCTGCCTTCATTCCGTCCTGTGTCTACTCATTCTCCATTTTTGAATTCACCCATCTTCCACCGACCTCACCAGCATCCAACGTCCTTTAGTTTTCTATCATCTATTTATTCACCCCTTCCCCTCTGTGTTCCCTTCCTGGATTTGTCTTTTAAATAATCCATTATTTAAATCAATTCTTTATTCATCCCTCCAACCTGTCAGGTCTTGCGTCAGCTCAAAGTGACCCACCGTCACTTGATCCCTTCTTGGGGTGGGGAGTGGGGGGGGGAGGGGACCCGTCCCTACAGTCTGTCTCCTGAGCTCTCTGAGGGACCCCAGCTCTCATCCAGGCACGCGAAACTCTTCAGCCATTTTCCTTTCGTGCTTGTGTTTGGAATCCTCCCTAGAGTTCCAGCCTGCAGACCAGGCAGGGGTTATAAACACAACCACTCTCTTTGGCTGTTCGGGGAGGGAGCCGTTCTTAACCCCTGCCTCCAGAGAACACAGCCCTGGGCGGGGCCCAACTGCTGCACAACTCTGTGCAGCTGCATACAAAAACAATACAGTACTGCTTAAGCGCCTACTGGGTACTGGCATCACGGGCAGTGTAATGAGGACAACCTTAAAAATTTCTGAGCCTAAAGGCCTCTTCCCAGATCAACCCTACCCTTCTCTTTCACCCATTCCCCGGGAGGAGGCCCAGAGAGGGGGTGACTAACCGGGCCGGTCTGTGGCAGAACCTGGACTGGAGTCGGGGGCTCCCGACTTGGTGCTCTGTCCCCCACCTCACTGCCTCCCAGCCCCTACCCAGTCTCATTGGGTGATGAAGGATCATTCCAGCCTCCAGGTTTTCGTTCCTGCTACGCCTCTTCCCAGCCTCCTTTCCTAGATTGTTAGCGTTTTCCCAGCTCTAAGCAATTTGCCAGGAGCAAGCAAGACTGAATAAACAAACAAAAACCCGGATTCTCTGAGCCACTTTCTGAAGCACTCTGAATTCCTACAGGACTTCTTATCTTTCCTGACAACCCCGCCCCAATCCCATGCTTCCTTTTAAAAACCTTCCTTCCGGTTTCCTGAGTGGTGTTCTTCTCCCCACCCCCCCCCCCCCACCACCCCCAAGCCCTTGCAGGCAGCCTGGGGTCCAACACGCAGCCTCCAACAGGGGCCAGGCAGGAAGTGCGAACAACCAACGTCGGCTGGGTGTAAAATGCCAGGAAGGGTGAGGGATGTCAGGCCACCTCTGGCCAGCTCCAGGAGGGAACAGAGATGGCTCAAAGGTGGCCTCATTTCCCAGCTTCTCGAGAGAAACAAAAAAATCGAGTTCTTCCTGCTGAAATCTTCCAAATTGTTAACGCTGGCAACTAATTAAAATACGCAAATGCAGTTCAGTTCAGACAATACACATTAAATGGCTAGATCTGCGCCTTTCCCCTTGACAAGTCGTCCGTGAGCCGCTCCCTCCTCCCCCACAAATTGCCACCAGAGAGCCTCTGCTCCAAGAAGAGTTTATCGCTTTGAATACAAACGACTTAATAACAACAGTAGCAGCTACCGCGACTTGGATATCCAAACACTTCAATCCCTCCTAGCAGATACTTTTATTGCCATTTTACCCATGAGGGAAACAGGAGGCTCAGGGGGGTTAAGGAACCTGCCCAAGGTCACATAGGTAAGTGACAACTTGGATTTGAGCCCAGGTCTGCGTGACTTCAAGACTGAGACCTAGCTCAGCGGGCGGTGGCACTGACCCCTGGGAGGCACTTTAGAAAAGTGAGGGTGGGCAGGCATTTCTGAAGGTCGCGGTGATGGGGTGGGGGGTGCTGCTTGTCGGTGGGTGGGAACCAGGGACGGAAGACGCCCTGTGATGTGCAAACAGCCCTGCGTCCTGAGCTTCCATCCTGATCCCGTCCCGTGCCAGTAGGGCCCCCAGCTCTCGCTCTCCCTGGACAACGGCAGCCATTATTGAGTGCCAGCTGTATGCCAGAGATTTGAGGTCCAGTAGCCTGGACGTAGATAGTGTTAGCATCCCAACTTCAAAGAAAGAAAACCTGCGGTTTGGGGCTGGGGTGACTGAACAAAGGTTACACGAAGTAGCCCAGGGCCAAGACCAGGGTGAAGCAGTTTAAGGGAGTCCCCCAAACTCAGGACTCCAGATAAGTAAGCCCTTCATGCACTATTTTAGAAAGTCAGAAAAGTTCAAGATGAACACAATATCTCAATCTTACGTAAAGGTAGCCTCTGCCATGTCGAGCCATCCCCGGAGTCTGAGAGAAAAGGCAAATCAATCACGCGGGCCCTGGGTTTTTATGCCTGGGGTAAGGGCCTCACCTACCTCCCCCTAGTCCTGACCCTGAGCAAGAACCAGGGTTTGAACCCAAGGCCTTAGGTACTGATGGTACACCCGGGGGCCTCTCCATCACTAGCCTCAATAAGCCGGGGAGCGGGGCAACCAGTCCTCCCCCCTCAACTCGCCAGGCCTCGATTGTAACTGGTTAAATTACAGGCCCCTGAAAGCCATGATTTGTAAAGCAGAAGACAGACAGGCCTTTAATTAGAGCCAGGCGGGTGGGTGGCTGGTTAATACTAAGTTCCGTAATAAGTGCTGTATTTGTGAATTTGTTGGCTCGATCACGCACATTCTGGAGGCCTCTTTGGAAACCTGTTCACAGAAAATAGGGTAAACAGCTATTTCCACCCTGAGAGGAGGAAAGTGACTTTGCAGCAGGGCGAGCAGCACGAGAATGGGTGCTGGGGGCAGCGGATCTGGGACAAATCCCAGCCCCGCCGGGACGAGCCCTCTCTGAGCTCCTGCTTCCTCGCCCGCACCGTGGGAACGGGGAGCCCCTGCAGGTGGCGAGGACGATGGGAAAGAACACCCAGGACATGCCCGTCTCCCAGGGGCTTGCCCCAAGGGTGTCGTTTAGGAGGAACATTCTTCATTTACTCTTGAAAATCCCTTTCAGTGGTGACAACCCGAGCTCGCAAGTCCAAAAGGCGAGACATAATGAACTTTATTTCACATGCGGCAGGATGTACATGTCTGATGGGGTGGGGAGCGGTTAGGGGAAGAGGAAGAAATACAGGCGAGGGTAAAAAAAATCTTTAGCGAGAGAGCGAGAGCAAGGAGAGAGGGAGGAGAGCGAGCGGGGGAGGGGCAGAGAGAGGGAGACAGGATCCGAAGCAGGCTCCAGGCTCCGAGCTGTCAGCCCAGAGCCCGACGTGGGGCTTGAACTCACACGCTGTGAGATCATGACCTGAGCTGAAGTCAGATGCTTAACTGACTGAAACACCAAGGTGCTCCTCTCTTCCCAGTTCTCATGCTGGGATAAGAAAACCTGTTCCAGCTAAAAGTCTGGCATGTAGAAAAAGCTCATTACGGTTCCAGATCTAGGAAACGACAGGCAGGGGTTCCAGACCCCGCGAGCTCCCTGTGTGTGGCTCGAATCCCAAGTGGGAGCTGGCTAACGTCCCCAGTGTTCGTCTGGAGTGGCTGAGAGTCCTTAGTGGATCCAGCCAGGAGCTGCTGACTTCCATGGGCATCTCCAGCAGGGACGAGTAGCGAGGCTGCTTCGGACCAGTCAGGAGATAATGTGTGCTGCTTTTGCCTCCTTGACCTCCAAGGGCAATTACCAAGGCTGTGCACAAATTGGACACAAAGACAAGCCCCTCACAGCGTGCAAAAACTCTAAGGCAGTGTAAATAAATAAACCGCTAGGTTGAGAACAGACAGAACGACAGATAACAAACACGGCCCTCTACTCAGAGACTGGCTGGCCGGTAGCTGGGGGTTGGATCCAGGGATTCGCAGTGGGGCGGTACTGCTCAGCGAGCGCTGGTTCTGGAAATCCATGAGGGTGTCCTGAGGATGGGAGAGGATGCCCCAGGCACTGAGTGGGTGGAGGCTGGCATGCCAGGTGACCTTTAATACCCAAGACGGTGCTGCTTAGGGCTTCCTGAACCTAGACTCTGACTCCGCTTTACATATAAACACAACGAATATCTTCTTTTTTTTTTTTTAATGTTTATTTTGGAGACAGAGAGAGACAGAGCATGAACGGGGGGGAGGGCCAGAGAGAGGGAGACACAGAATCGGAAGCAGGCTCCAGGCTCCAAGCTGTCAGCACAGAGCCCGACGCGGGGCCCGAACTCACGGACCGTGAGATCATCACCTGAGCCGAAGTCGGACGCCTAACCGACCGAGCCACCCAGGCGCCCCCACACCGAATATCTTCTGCCAAGGTTTCAATATACGCTGAATTTTCCAGAAATGCAACCACTAGGTAAAGCAGAAGGACTATACTTTTTTCTGCTCAGAACTTTCTCAAGAGTTAGTCACCCCATCGGAAAAATCACGTGGCCGGCTGACGGCAATGCCGCTTGTGGTGTGTGAGACGCCAACCTACCTGTAGCTCTCTGTTTCCGTCACTGTCACACTCACAGTGCTTCTGTGTATAGTGGAAGCACCTGACGACGCTTTCATGGTCTTCTGGTGTCTCTGTCGTGATCAGGCATTTGCATACTGAACTGCATACTGCTTTAGTATAAATTACTTCCCTCATCATTCTC